GGGTTTAATATTTTTCCTAGAACTTTTTTTTTTTTTTTTTTTTTTTTTTTTTTTTTTTTTTTTTTTTTTTTTAAAAAAAAAAAAAAAAAAAAAAAAAAAAAAAAAGCAATTCAGATCTTTGTTTTCATGTCCTCAATGTCCTTTGTTCTAGCTCTACAGCTTGGGGAGCGTACCAAGGAGAGGATATTTGTTAGCACCTCTGGAAAGGGAGATTTTGGGACACAGGTAGCAACAAACAGTACTTGCTAACTCTCCCACTCATTTCCCTGCCGAGATACTGAACCACTGTCCTCAACTCAGTCTGCAACTGAATTATTACCCACTTCCCAAAGACAGGCATTGTCACTTCCAGATGCTCATGCATCATGGACTCAGCTCTCCCTCACAGACCAGGGCTGGCCTCCTAGCCAACCAGGATCATTTGCATGCAACATTTTACTTACATTGAGGGCTTTTTTTCCTCCTTTTCCTGCTTTTCCTGGGCCTTTATTGTGAGCCACTTTTGGCCTGAAGCTGGATACGTCATTAAAACTCTCCTTTGTGTTCCACTTTGAACCCTTCTTCTTCCCACCAAAACCAAACTTCTGATTCTTGTATCGTCTTTTGGCATTTGGTCTGAAAAACAACAGAACAGCGTCAACGCCCGTGTTCCTTTCCTCAGGAAGCTCTCATGAAGGCACATGTATCTGCTGATGAACTCCCATCTGCCATCAGAAACCTTTCCCCTCTTATAGAAGAGGCAGAAATTAGCACATTTCATTCTCCATTCTATTCTGCCCAGAGTTTTCCTCCTCTCCAGGGACAGAAAGTCACCTGAGACTTATTTTAATGAACATTAATCAGAACAGCTTTCTTGTTCCACAAAATGACCCCCTAAAAGACTGAAAAAAAAAAAATATATCAGGGATTCTGCATTTAAATATCTTTCTTTTCTGGTCTCACCCTTTCTTTATCCGTTGATTTGCACTGCCTTTTTTATTGCCCTGAGACGACGTCTGCTCTTCATCTAGAAAATCCAGCTTGTCAGAGAGACCTGCAAGAGCAAAGACATAACAGTTGCTCAGCTACCACCACAGAAAATAGGAATTTTCAGTCCAAGCAAGTAATAACTGCATTCACCCCCACCGAAGAACAGCTCCTTGGGAGGATTTTCACTGCCACTGGCATGTGATTCTGCAGAGAGTTCACTGCCCAGCACTACAGATTGACACCACTCATCACACTGCCTTACATTGCTCACACAGCACTATTCCCATCACACGTTCAATCTCCTAGACAAGTTAACTTTACCTTTCTGGTATTTCTTGACTGCATTCAACATATTTTTTTTCTCCTTCTGCCTCCTCTGCAGAATTTCAGTTTGCACCTGAGGTTAGAAGCAGAATGTTAGTGTTGTTCCTTGTTTTGTCCCATACCTTTTTCTGTTATCTATTTTTTTTAAGGTATCCCATTTTTTGCTCTGTCCTCCTTCAAAGCATCCACATAGAAGACTAGAGAGATTCCATATATTTTAGCCAGCCTCCTGTGAGACCTCCAGGTCTCACTATCTATGTTTCTCACTCAGGCTCTAGATTCTTGTCCTAAATAGGTCCCTTTGGTAGGTTATCCTCACCTTCTTGCCGTATTTTCTCATTGCACGGAGCTGTTTTGCTTTCTCAGACCTCTCCATTGCTTCCTGTTTACTCTTAAGTTTCTGTCGAATCTTATTAGGAGATAGAAAAAAAAAAATTATACGTAATGCAAAAGAAAATATGAGAGTTTTATAATTGCTGTGTAGTTCTGAAATCAATAATTATGTGAAACATCTCTCAATCAGATAATGCTTAATTAATCTCCAAAGTTACTGGCTACCTCCCTGAAACAATGCAGGTTTTTTCAGTGATTATAAGGTATAACTGTTCCCACCTTGAATTGAAAGACTGTTATTACAGCAATTGCTGAACTGATCTGTATACAAAAATGCGATTAACAAGACAAAACTCACAGACAGACAAGACAGAGTCTTAAAATGGGCTCTAATGGAACTGCTAAACAAGAGTATCTTGTCAGTCTACTCAGGTGTACGCAGAGGACTTGACAGCCTCTTTCTTGTCATTATTAAAAGTGAAGCACTGAAGAAGAGTCAACAATCCTTCCATGCCACAGAAAACACCTTTTTCACTCCCTCCTTGTTCACAAACATTTCTATAAGGGTACCACATTACACGGGATTACAAAAATTTCAACATAGATCTTCTGGATTCAGTCCGTGACTGCACCAGGATTTAAAAAACTCTGTTTTTCAAACAGAAGCCAGCAAAATATGGCAACAGCAATGTGCAAAATTGACTTAAGTCTGAGTATGTGCTAATTATTAATCATCTTCTTCTCTAGGAAGATACTATCAGCCATCAAAAGTGTCCAAGCCATACATGAACTTCCAAATTAGACTCCAGCTCATGTTTGTTTAACTTATACAATGCAGTCTTTTTTCCAAAACAAACAAAAAAATAAAGGTTTCATTTTGAACAAAGACAACAATCAACAAGCAAGTTTGCAAAATTATTACTTCCTACACAATTCCTTACTTACTACCCATGATAGATTAATTCTATAACACACAGTTTAAAATCACAGAGAAACAAAACACACTCAGTATAAACACAGGGTGATACTTAAATAGGGAAAAAGGGTCACGTTAATGCCACAGCTGACTGCATGTCTTATGACAAAAAGCATTAACACAGCCAACTTTACAATGCACATGGAGAAAAAGTCTCCATTTATAATAGTAAATACATTCCTGACAGAATATAAATTGTGCTTCTGCGTTATGTTCCTACCTGTTATGGAAATCCCCACATTGCATTGAAATGCCTAAATAGGAAGAAATTTCCTTCCACAAACAAAATTTCAAATACAAACATTGTCACAGGCGTGTGCCAAAGAGATGAAGGTCGGTATTCACACATCACACTTTAAAGTCAATCCCTAACACAGGCCAAAACCAACACATAACACAGCAAAGCAAGCCGTTATTCTCTGCACATACCTTCTGCATCTGTTGGTCTGATTTGGCCATCTCTGCAAAATAATCATCTGGCCTTCGAGTAGGAACTTGGAGCTTACGCAACCTGGGTAGGGCTTCCAGCACCGCCGCCTGAGCCTGCCGGTAACTAGGGAGACAGCACAGCACCAGCTCTGTCACCGGGTATCAGCCATCTCCCAGCCCTCACAGACACTCTGCTCACATGAGCTGATGCTGGGATCTAACCAGCATTGATCCAGAAATACACCAACATCCCGTGCCCTACAGCATTCACTTCCACTGAAAGCAATTTTGGTGCCGGTACAATATTAACGCTTATATCTTGCACATCTAGTTTACAGTTACAGTTTTGTGTGTTGGATTATAGAAGGCAAGGCAAAACAAGAAAACTGTAATAGCAACAAAACAAATCTGCAAAGAAAAATCCACATGCTGTGTTAGAGCCATAGTGCTACAACCAAGAAACTTTTAAAATAAACTTTTCAGCAAAGAATAGAAGTCGGCTGCAAGGAGGGAAATTATTTCCAGTCACAAGACAAGTTAAATATACTACCGTTAACTCGTAGGTATTTTGGAAAACATTCAGAGCCATCAAATGTAAAAACACATGGCCCAAGAGTGACATGACACCGGTGCCAGCCAGCGTGGCAACCTGCAGCACACCTGAGGAACAGGACTCCAAGGCACACAGCAGCATGCCCAGACCCTGCAAAGAAATCTCCCTTTTGGACACTTACAAGCTCATCTCTCTCTGGAAATCGTTCTCAGGATCGACAGCATCTTTGCTAGAAGCGCTCTGGGAGACGGGATCGGGGACCTGGGGCAAAGTCACATCCAGCCTTTCCACCCAAGCCAGCTGCTGTTTGAATTCGGACAGGCACAGCTTCAGCCCATCCTGGGAAAGAAGCACAGCTCTGCACACCCCCGCACAGCACCACCTCCCCCCGGCCGGCCCGGCTGAACGCCTGAACAGCCGGCTCCTCCAAGGCCGCCGGGCGAGACCGCAAACCCTCGCGGCCCCGGCCCCGGCGGGGGCTCCTCTGCCCCGCACCCGGCCCAGAGGTTCCGCCCAGCCCCGGGAAGGCCCCCCTCACCGTGTCGTTGCGCCGTTTCGGCTGCTCCTCCAGCACCACGTTGAGCCCCGGCTTCAGCAAGCCCTTGGAGAAGGCCTCCTGCAGCTGCGGAGAGGGAGGGACACTCAGGCCGCGCCGCCGGCGGGGGCACCGGGGAAGCCCTGCCCCGCGGCCGCCGGGGGAGGCCTCGCCGCCGGCCCCGCTGCCCGGCCCCACCACCGCGGCCGTGGGCTCACCTCCGAGTCGGAGAGAGAGGAGTCCTCCGAGCCAGACTCCGAGTCGGAGAGGGACCCGCGCCGCGCCATGCTGCTGCCGCCGCTTCCGCCGCTTCCGGTCGCGTGCGCGCGTCCCCGCCGCCCGCTTCCGGCGGTGCCGGGGCCGCGGTTGCCACGGCGACGGCGGCAGCGGCGGCATCATGTCGGCGGTGGCGGCGGAGCCCGTGGCCGTCTTCGGCTGCCGGCCGCGGGTCGCCGGCGGCGTCTGCTTCTTGGAGGAACAGATCGTGCTACACGCGGTGGGGACGGGCTGCCTCCAGCTCCACCTCGAGCAGAAATGGCACAAGTTCATCCCAGGTGGCACCGGCCCCGGTCCCCATCCCGGTCCCCATCCCCATCCCGGTCCCGGTCGCGGCCCCAGCCCGCCCTGACCCCTCTCCTCCCCGCAGGCACCGAGAAGAGCCGTGGCGTGCAGGCGCTGGCCGTCAGCCCCAACCGGCGGTACCTGGCGGTCTCGGAGACGGTGGCGGATCAGCCGGTCCTGGCGGTCTCCGAGCTGTCGGAGGTAGCGGCGCGGCGGCGGAGGACGCTGGCCGCCGCCGAGCTGCCGGCGCGGGAGGTGGTGTCCCTGGCCTTCTCTCCCGACTGCCGGTACCTGGCGGCCCTCACGGCCCCCCCCGAGGTGCACCTCACCTACTGGCTGTGGGAGAAGCAGCGGCTGCTGGCGGCCGTTCCCGTCGAGGCCCTGGGCAGCAGCGTCTGCCAGGTAACGGAGTCCGGCACATCCCCCAGCCCCGGGCCCGTTCGGCTGCCCGCATCCTTGCCAGGGTACAAGGGTGCACACACCTCCCTCCAAAACTGAGCTGCGCCAGCGTCTCTGCAGCTTACTTTTAACGTCTGGATTCATGGTTGACTGGTTCTGTGGGAGCCCGTTTCACTATTGCAAAAAGGTGGATAGAAGGACCCAACTTGAGTTCACCAACTACTGGGTGCCAGGTAGCACCTGGGTTCCTTTGGCAGGAATGCGCACAGTGTGTTCTCCTGTGGCCACGTGGCTTCTCTCCAGGGCAAGAGAGGGAGGAGAGGGCTCCACACTGTAGATTTTATATAGTTTCTTGTGGCCTTTCTTGGTGCCTGCTGTTGGCCTTCCTCAGCCATGGGGCACTGAGCTAAATAAGTTTTTGCTTTGACCCGTAACAGACATTCTCATGTCCGTATCTCCTATGTCACATGAGATCTATGGTATGGGACAGTACAACTGGCCAGCGAGTGTGCAATGTGTCCCTTGTGTCCCTGCAGAAACACTCATTAAATATGTTGGCTGTGCTCATTAGGCATAACATGCATCTTGGAAGCTCTGGGCACGCTCATGCCCCTTTTCCTCCCTGCGGTCTGTTCCATGTGCAGATCACAGGAGTGGCCCAGGAAGCATGGCTAAAGAGCAGGCTGATGGCACTCAGGCAATTCCTGCCTCCTGCTTTGGGTGCCCTTTTTTAGTATCTTACTTGCAGGGAGGTAAGAGGCTTCCAGTACCTGGGTTGGTTGGACCTGCCATTTTTCCTGGGGTACAGCTATAAGCAGAGGTTGGGTGAACAGCTGACGTTAGGAACACAATTTCTAAAGAGAGAAGGGTGACTGTAAAGACAGCTGCTGTCTGAAGTCCCATTAAGCATGAAAAATGAGGTCTAACTTCCTCTGCTGTCCTTCATGTTGGGTATTGAGATGGCTATTCCACTGTGTTCACCAATAAACACCTAATTATGTGAATTAATATGCATAATAGGCAAGGTTTGCCTGAAATACAGAAATGCAGAATTTATTGCTGACTTTTAAGAGTGAATGGTTGCACTTTTTAGGAAGATTGCTACTAAGAAAAAAACTTGCTAATGAACAGTGAAGAGGTATTTTGGCCTTACTTTTGTCATTTAATCCTGAAGGGCAGAGACAACTTTTTCTTTGGGATTGTGTTGTGATTCAGATAGCGGCATAGCTTAATAGAGTTGCTGTATTTGTAGCATCGTGTAAAATCCATAGACACATTTTAGAAAGGGAAAACTGCAATATGTAGTTATGATGGTTATTTCTTAGTCTCTTCTGTATTCCCGTGTGTTTCTAAGAACCTTCTTCCTGTGTTTGCTTTCCAGTAGCTGGTATTGAAAGTCTTCAGAACAGGTATAATATTTGCTTATTTGTGAACATAGTTGCGTAAAACAATTTCTCTCTTTTTGTTCCATAGGTGAGCTTTAGTCCTGAAGACAATGCACAGGTTTGTATCACTGGAAATGGCTTTTTTAAACTGTTTGAGTATAGTGGAGGAACTTTGAAGCAGACGAATTTACAAAAGGGAGAGCCACAAAACTACTTGTGTCATGCCTGGCTGTCCAAGGAGCAAATTATATGTGGCACTGACACAGGCAAAGTTATCTTGTTTGAAACTGGGGAGCTACAGTGGGAGACAACTTTAGAGTACAAAAAATCACCCAAGGAACTAGAAGAAGATGCAACAACAAAAGAATATGAGAGGTAAATCTATTAAATACTATTACTAATAGTTTCATGAGTGTCCATGCAGATTACTTGCAGGCAGTTCACTTATTTCCTTCTTGTCCGATTTATGAATGGCTTGTAATACTTTGATGTCTTTACGCATTTCCTGCTTGCAGTTTTTCTGATGTTTATTATGGACTGGCCTCTGAGGACAATGGTTCACAACAGGATTTTTTGCCTCGAATATCAGCAGTTGCAGCTTATTCCAAAGGCTTTGCATGCTCATGTAGCCCAGGAGTTGTTCTTCTGTTTGAGAAGACCAAGGAAAAGGAAGTCTACAAGGAGAGTCAAGAAATCTGGGTAGGGAGAAAAAAGCTTTTCCAAGCAATTATGCAGCAGAGGCCTACTGGGGGCGTGGGGGGTAGGTGTGCTTCCAATTTAGTTATTAATAATAATTCTTAGCATATATCTAAATTATATTGTAAGCATTAGCTAACTGTCCTGGTGATGTCAAAAGGAAGGGAGTTGCCAGAGGTCACACCGAAAGTCAGTGACAAATGTCCTTTGCAAGGTAGCTCTGCATGTTACCACATGTGTAGTGTGCTTTGAGGCCACTAAACTTCAAGAAACTTTTAAGAAACTTTTTTTTTATGGAGATTTTTGGAGCTAAGAAGTAATCTACAATAATTCTAAAGAACTAGGCTGCTTGCTTTTTCCAAGGCAAAGCTTTTTTCCCCTCAGGTATTTATTATTGCTGTCATGCAACTTGTGCACTCTTAAGTAATCTAGTAAGATTTCTAACTGTTCTATAGTGAGCTGTATGAATTGCATTACTGCAATGTCTCTGATCACCTGGTCAAGCCTTCGTACTCTGGGCCTAAAAGGTCAGATGTTCCCTATGCGTGAGACCCTGTAATAAGACTGTTATCAACCTGAATGATACAGTGCAAAGAATTCTGAGATCGTAATTTTCAGGCAGTTTTCATTCTGACACTTGCTAGGTTTTTTCCTCGACGTTTTTCTGCTACCATTTTCATTTTTGTTTAATGCAGCACTTAAGATAACTGCTGAAATGTCCTCTGATACTTTTTTTCAGCTGTAATGCTATAGATACAGTTGGGTTATCTTGATCTCTGTTTCCTGCCTTGCAGTAGTTATGTACTATTAAATATCCAAGTTATCTTCCTGATGTTATGCATATGCTTATTAGAGTAGCATTACAGCAAAAGTTTGTGTGTATGCATGCATACTACTAAAACATGGAGGAATATCCCATGGGATGTATTTCTTGTGCAGATTCCTCAGGACCAGTTCAGCAGTGAGCCAAAAAAATCGAACAGACAGGACATTATATATATATGCTTCAGCCCCTCTGAGGAAAAAATGGTTGTTAACACAAATAAAAATCAGCTTTACATGTTTACTATGCTCTCCAATGATTTTATGAAGGTAAGTGCAATCTTCTCACATTCCACAGCCATCATGTCCAGTAAGGGATGTATTGTCATGGTACAGGCTATTCAGTGTCACTTTCTATTCAGTGTGCTATGATGGCTTCTCATTAAATCCATCAAATAGTGTCTGAACCCTTAAAGCTCATGATATGAAGGGCTCCACATGCTCCTCTTAGAGCTGGATTTCAGTAGCCCCTTGCTCAAGCGTCCCTCCATATGAATACCTGATGTTATTCAGCAGAATGATGTTAAAACCATTTAAGGGTGCGTGTCACTGTCAAACCACTTAAGTAAGCCTTTAAGGGAAGGATTTTTAACGTAACTGTAGTAGTTTATGCTCCACTGTAATATACAGAAACTTTAATGCAGTGATAAAGCTGGAACAGCCATGGGAATCTGATGTTACTCTAAAATAGTTGTTAAAGTCCTAGTTAGAAGTGAAATCTCTTTGTGAAGGACAAATGTAATGAAAAACATTCCCTACTCTGAAGGAATTAAATAATACAAACACAAGAGATAAATATATTATCATGAAATAGACTTTCATGGAGTTAAATACCTAACCTGTGTACAGGTGTATAGAAATATCTCTACAAAGAGAGGCTTTGTAGTTATGGGTCCTTTTTCTGCATGCAGCCTAAAATTTTATTGGTACTTCACTTCCAGCGTGTAGTAGCTAAACAACCTGGGTAAGTTGCTTATCACTCAGCGCTTGATTATTTTTAAATATCTGTCTGACCAGATGGTCTTAAATGAATTCTTGCAGTCCAGTTTTATTTAATTATCTAACTTGCATTTCTTTGGACACCTACAACTATGTTCTGTTTTCACTAGTGTATGAGAACAATGGAGCCTACGTTTTCCCTGTATCACTTTTATTGGTTATTAATTATAAAGTTAAAACTAATTCTAATACTGTTATTTTTTTAACATTGTTATGTTCAGACTGGTACAGTGAAAGGATTAAGTGGTTTCCTCAAATCTTTTTGATTACTGTATGCAGAGCTATGAGATTTCTTACCTGACTTACTGCCGTCAGTGAAATATTTGTGATTTTTTTGTGTGTTCTCATTACTTCTCAGGAGAAGACAGCTTATTTCACTTATCTGAATTTCCCATTGCATTCTGCTTCAATCACTGGTCTGGACATCTGTTTTTGGAAACCCATTCTTGCTACTT